GATTTTTATTTAGACAGCATTGTATCTGCAGAATCAATTTCAGAGGAACAGGCAGCCTAACATCACCGACTCTTCCTAGCCACAGACTCAGAGGAAGTATTTGCAAATCATATGTTGTAGGTGGAAGAATGGCCCCCAAGCCAGCAACCCTATCTGGCAAAATGCAGATGAGACAGGGAGATGATCCCGGCTTCTCTGGGTGGGCCTGATGTCATCCCCAGGGTCCTTCTAAATGGGGAGCAGTAGAGTTAGGGTCAGAGAGGAAGAGGAGGCAGTGAGGACGGAAGCCAAAATTGGAGTCACGCTCTTTGCAGACAAAGGGAGGGGCTGTGAGTTCTCACTCAGTGGCCTCCGGAAGCTGGAAAAGGCCAGGAAGCAGGTTCTCCCTGGAAGCCTCCAGAAGGAACCCAGCCCTGTCAACAACTTGTTCTTAGGCTTCTGACCTCCACAACTGTAAAATAACAATTTTGTGTGATTGTAAGCCTCTACGTTTGTGCAATTATCTTACAGCAGCGATAGGCTCTCTCATGCATCACGGACAGTTGATAAAGGGCTTGTACTCTGAACACAGAGAGAACTCTTCAAACTCAGTAAAAACACAACTAACCATCCAATCAAAAACACAGGCACGTGATGCAAAAGGATGCTTCACCGAGTAAGACGTGTGGAAACAGCACATAAGCCCATGAAAAGATGCTCAGCGGCATTAGTCGTAAGGAAGATGCAAACAAAACGTGATGAGACGTCACCACACCCCTGGGAAAACGGTTAAACCTAAAAGGACGATGACACCAAGTGCCAACGATGAGGTGGAGGACCCGCCTCTCTTGCATTGCCGGATGAAGTGGGGCAGCCTGGTTGGAAAACTGCTTTGCAATTTCACGAAAAGTTAAAAACACACCTACTGATAAGGTGTGGCTGCATCCCTGCCCAAATCTCGAATTTTAGCTCCCAGAATTCCCACATGTTTTGGTAGGGACCCGGTGGGAGGTAGCTGAATCATGAGGGCGGGTCTTTCTCATGCTGTTCCCGTCAGAGTGAACACGTTTCACGAGAGCTGATGGTTTTATAAAGGGGAGCTCCCCTGCACACGTGCTTTCTTGCCCACTGCTGCGCAAGACATGACTTTGCTCATCCTCCGACTTCCACCATGACTGTGAGGCCTCCCCAGCCATGTGGAGCTGTGAGTCCATTCAACCTCTTTCCTTTATAAGTTACCCAATCTTGGGTTATGTCTTTATTAGCAGCGTGAGAACGGACTAATAATGCCTACTTACCAACCAATCCAGCCATTTCCAGCCCTGCATATTAATCCAGGAGAAATTAAACCATTTGTTCACACAAAGACCTGTGCACAGATGTTCATGGCAGCCCAGTGTGTCATGGCCCCAGCTGGAAGCAACCTAGATGTCCACTGACACTTGAATGGACACACAGCTGTGGCCTCCAAGCACAGAGTACGACTCTGCTGGGTGGACACACGCTGTGGCCTGTCCACGCATGGAGTATGACTCTGCAGTGAAGGGAAATGAACCGCTGTGCACAGTACAACATGATGACCCTTGAAATAGGAGGAAGACAGGCAGTAGAGAGTGGCTAGGATGTCATTTCACCTGTAAAACATCTCAGGAAAACAAGCTACAGCGACAGAGACAAGCGCAGACGTCGCCTGGGACCTCGGCCAGGCCAGCGGGACCGGGAGGGGCGGGACTGCAACGAGGAAGCCTCTGGGGGTGACAGATCTGTTCCTTGTCCCCACTGGGGCTGGTTTCACAGGTGCATCCTCTGTCAGCCTACTCTTAAGTTGTACGCTTCAAAGCCGTGCAGTTTATTCGCCGTCAAGCACACCCCTGTAGGCTCTTAGAAAGGAAAATCCTGGGGGACCGAGAGCACAAGCTTTCCGACAGCCCTCACGGGCCTCTCCTTCGGGGTGAGGGGCAGCCGGCCTCTTCTGCCCATCACAGTCCACCTCCCCATAGACCCACATCCTCCCTCTCAGCACCTGGTCCCAGAAGGAGCTCTGGAGGGGCCAGGCAGGGAGCCCTGTGCCCACTTTGCCCAGCTCCCTGATCCTGGGGGGTATGGGGCTCTGGAGACAGAAAGGGGCGAAGAACAGAGGACTGGGCGTGGGCTCGGCCTGTGGCCACGTGGGAGGGAGCACCAGCGGGCAGCGCTGCCCCGCCCCTCCCCTCCTAGCCCCGCCCCCTCCCCCTGCAGCCCAGCCCCTCCCCTCCGCAGCCCCGCCCTCTACCCTCCGCAGCCTAGCCCCTCCCCTCCGCAGCCCCTCTCCTCCCCTCCGCAGTCCCGACCCCTCCCCTCCGCA